GTAATCAATGACACGTAAGGCGTGTCAAATATGGGACAGTATAGAAGTCGGAGGCGACTGAACCCAACGTATATTGCGCAGGCTACAAAAACAGGAAGCGAATCAACCAGAGCGAGAAACGGTGCAGCAAGGTAATCAACAAAACGCTTTGTGAAAACGGATGTGCCATCAGTAAAACAAGTGGACATTTTGAAGGTTAAACAACCGTAAAATCCAATGTTGCAAAATACTGAAACAGTGTTTTCCGGTACACTACAACAGTAGAGCAACTCAACAGCACTACACAACCGAAAAGTGGCTAGAGAGGACGGATTATGCTGCAAAACATACATCGCTTGTGCAACCTGCTCATATTTATCTACCGCATTTGCGGAACAAGCTTGGTTGGAATAAAACTTCGTCCAAGCCCTCAAGCGATATGGTTTTGCGTTTCAGTGCCTGAAACAAGCGTTTGCGAAGTTCAGTGATGCGAAGCTCAAAGAAGGGATACTTACTAGGCCTGATATTCGCCGGATAATGGCTGACAGTGCTTTCGAATGCCAGCTGACTGCCTTTGATTTAGAAGCATGGTGATCATTCAAGGCAGTGTGTACAGGAATTTTGGTGAGCACAAAGGCAAGAATAACAAAGAAATTATAAAAAAGCTCACTGCAAAGTATCGGGCTGTTGGTGATCGAATGTCACTCAAGATGCACTTTTTGTCTAATTAACTTGACTTTTTCCCTGAGAACTTGGGAAGTGTTAGCAATGAGAATGGTGAGCGCTTTCAAAAAGACATTTCAGTCATTGAGTAGCGCAACAGTGGCAAGCACATGCCTTCTGTGATGGGTGACTTACTGGTTTCCGCAGCGTGAGGGCCTTGGATCATACAAGCGACGATCTCGGCGAAGTCAACATTTCTCAGTGCCAAGCTGCAGTCAGTAGTTAGCGGTGAGTATTGCGTAGTATGGAGACGAACTTCTCGGGGACACCGTTCCTCAGAAGGCACTGCCACAGTACTGTACGATCGACAGAATCGAAGGCTGCACGGATATCCAGGAACACAGCAATCGTTGGCCTCTGATACATATGGCGGAGCTCGAGGATCTGGCCGCTTACGAGGCACTGCGAACCAAGCCCCTGAAACCGCACTGATGATGTTGCCTAGTCAGGCAACGAAACGCCTGCACAATAATCACTCAGCTCGGAGAACCGCTCAAAATCCGCATTCATATCCCGAGCTACGGCTATTCTCATTTATTTCAAATTAAACATGTGAATCAATACAATACTGTACACAATTCTTCAACTGATTCCGGTTGTGGGCCATGACTTCAAGAGTATTAAGCCATTGGCACTCCTCATCTTTGGGTCCCCGTCCTGAAAGATTTACGGATCCAACAGCGGCTACATACGACGTCAGCGATTTCATGTGCCGCCGCCAAGTGGAAGGCTGACCACCATGCGGTCGCCTCCAGCCAGGTCCTTGACGAGCGAATAGAGCGCGACGCGGTAAACGCTCAGGCGCTATGCCTAGGACGAGACCGAGCTATCTCAATTGGCGCAACAAAACCAGTTTGTTGAAGGGAATGCTCACATTCCCCAAGATGCAACGTCGAACGTCATTACTACTAACTCGATGTTGCCACCAAGCACGAGCAATCCTCCCTAAGCAACCGTCAGTTATTGTTGTGCACAGTGTGATTAGAGATACCCTACAGACACACTCTAAGAAGACGGTCCGATTAGAAGACAACAAAACTGAAAGTGGTGCCGGCTGCGAACAACATCCTGTAAAGACTCGATCCCTGCACAGGGTTGGTCGCACGGATTCAGGCCTGGAAAGCAAGAAGGACCAACAGTCCTCAGCCTAGTGGTCAGAGACTTCAATCCCCTCTATCAAATTCTGCCCACCTCTGAGCCCTGTGCCATGCAATATCAAGCAAGCAAAACAAGATCCTAAGCATGAAGTGTCCAGGCATACGTAGCACGTGTCGAACCGACGCGACTCACTCAACGCTATTTGTTGCACTGATTAGCACCGCCTAGCACGCGTTTGTGCGCATCGTTGCGGATGTGCTGGCGACATTCGACAACGCCGATATTCCACAATCAACGATGATCGGACTAAAATGTGCCTCCGGTCCCCAGACAGAGGGAATGTCTCACTAGTATAGATATGAACAGCTAGCAATGTGGGTTTTACCCGTGGTCTATTAAATCGAGGGAGATCCCATTCTGATACCGCAGAGTCAAAAATACATTTCAAATATTTTGCAATGCACAAGCCAGTAGTAGTTATTGCTGATGGCTTGTGCACATATCATAAGACTGAGGGTTACAGTAAATCGCCAAAGTAGGACAATTTCCAGCTAGAATACGGTCCAGATAAAGAATACGACAGACCGCATGGAACTTCGCTTCAGGTTGGTGTGCAAATTGTGCGGAAGCTGTAACGATGAGGATAGGTGAATATGCGTCATATACGTCGAGTATCCCGCGAGTAGCGGAAATGTGCAGGTCCGAAGTATCAAACCGTGAAATACCCAAGAACTCGAGATCTTGCAGAGGCAAGATAAGTAAGTACGTGCTAGTCTAAAATCACGGGATGATGGATAACGGTAAACAGTTGCACCAAGTGTGGCAGCACCAAATGGAAAAACGCGTGTACATGCGAACCGAAATGATAGTTATCCAGTTTCACGTAATAAATTCCATCCAGGTAGTCTGTATTACAGACGGCACAAGCAGTAAGGTACGAGCTAGATTTCGAGATGACGGACAAATAAGACTTAAGAAAAGAGCTCACCGTGGATATTCTTGGTTCATGTGTAGCGTGATTACCCATACAATGGACTACAGTCGCGTTATTTTTAAATGCCAGTATGCCAGTTATAGAGAATATCGTACGTGACTTCGCATGACTGAAGAATTGGTGAAAGAATTTTCCTCTAACCATGACAAACGATAAAATAATGATGAAGGAGGTGGTCTGCCCACAGCTAGACAAGTCTTCGTTGAAAGGACTACAGGCCGCAACCGAACTAGTCGTATGAGTAACCGAGGGAAAATGCTGAGCTGTTTTCGAAGCCCGTGAGGAGCTGAGGGGGTAGTTGTCGCATCGCAAAGTCGGGAATCAGCGAAAGAAGATAAAAGCCGTTTTCTAAGCCTGGATTGTAGAAGTTTTATTGAGGACAGGTTGACAGCGGAAAAAGACAGGCACCGTAGCAATGCGATGAGTAGAGATCACGAATCGCCTGATTGTTTATAGGCTGGATGATCAATTGATGGAACTTCAAGCGATATATATAAAGGGAACCATGTGGGAAAAAGTTGGTATACCGAGACCAAAGTCTTCCATGGCAGCGTGAAAGTTAGCCACATGTTTATCATTGGGTAGTGGTAGCCAGTTGCATACACAGGCACGACCTGATTTACACGTTCTTTGTGGTATAGGGATGTACTGCTGTCAAGGACAAGGCGCGAACGGGACCAGATGGCAAGAAGCTGTGAAGCCTTTTTAGCGCTGATTTGGCTTTAGGGAAGCTCTGATTGTTCCTTAGGGTTGAGGACATGTTCTACAGATGCAGACAGTAATTGATCTTCCCAAGTGAATAGAAGGCCGAGATAAGCGAACGACTCTTCCGATTAGAGCGATGAAATGCTTAACAAAGAACATGAGCGTGGTAGTTTTCACTGACCGATCTACGGCAAAGTTGAGAGTGACGGAATTCAACTTGCCGATCGACAGGCCAATGAAAAATCCCTATGTAAATTTTGGAGACGATCTACCAAGCCGCCCGGTCATGGGTCGGGCGATGCCCGAGTGGTATGCGCTTCTGGTTTGCAACCATAAGATCACCGGTTCGAATCCGCGTAGGAGCGGGCGTCCTCGCGGTATACTCAGTCCACGCGCGACTGGTGGTGGTCACGTGGTAGCAAAGCGCTGTTACGGCGCACAGCTGGTGATTTACTTTTACTTTAATTACTCGATCATGGAGAAAAATGACAGCAACGTCGGTATTTACCCATAATATACAGGACCAAAGTTGCGGGACCATTGAGAAGAGTTTGAATTAGAAAGTAATTTCAAGTAGCTTGGAACTTATAAAGGACTCTGTCCAATGTTATGATGCCAAGAAATGAGGAAAGTATCTCAACTTGCCGGACACCTCTCCTTGGCTAAATTACGATCCCACTAAAGGTACAAACAGAGAAAGCATAGTGGGAGGAAACGTGAGTCAAAATAAAAGTTGGAGTGCCAGTAGCGGCTCAGAGTAGTAATCAGAAGCGAGTAACCGAGGGATAATCTGTCTGTGGTAAATGTGACTCGACTTTAGCACAGTTTATCTTGGAGCGAAAGTGGGTTGGTCTTCCCTCACCCGAAATTCCCGTTCAGCAGTAAAGTGACAGATGCATAGTCAGCAGACTTGTCACTGCTGGTGTCAACACACAAGTTTAGTTCTATCTCGGATGCAATCATCTGTCTGGTCATTTTGTGCTCGGTGCATACAGTGAGTCTTCTCCATGATTGCAAGAGGTCCACAGGCCTCGCAAAATTCAATGTCCGGCATTATGGCAACTGATGTCGCAGAGTCCCTTGTGTTGTGCATAACGGCCAAGGTACTACTTGACCGAAACTCGAGGTTTTTGGGCTAATTAGGGGAAGGCTTTTTATGCAGTGCACCCCAATAGTTTTGTAAATGGCTATAATACCATAACAATAGGAAGCTGATACATAAGCAGAACGAAAGAGGAAGAGAACACCAGTGCAACGACCATTTAACTAACAAGGGTGTTAACTAAGAAGTGTCTCCCAATCACTTAAGGCTGACTATGCGAAGCAACTCACGATGAACAAACGTAAAAGCCCCTACAGTATACAGAGTACGCAGTAGCAAGCAGAATATGCATAATACACAATCTAACTAAATGGAAACGATTGACTAATGACTGCAGAAAGACCAATGACGGCTGTTCCGTTGACTGTGACTCGTTTCGAAACATCGCCTGCTTAACCTTTTGAAACATGGTATGGAAAAGCACGGTGCCGAAAACTGATAGTAAATAATGTTACATGTTTGTACTGAAGGAGCTAAAAGGGGTTGCAGGTAGAACGATCAGTGGTGACATACCAGAGGACTGAAGTTCCAACAGAAGAGCATGCTAAGAACCTACGAAGATTGGCTCCTATGCAGAAGAGTGTCAATAGCATGGTCCGTGGCGGTCTTTCAAGATTGGAGAACGGCTTTTAAGCAGCACTCCACACAAAGAGAGTAAAAATGATACGTAATGTACATAAGCAGGTCAGTTGAAATTGATTAAAGCGTGTACGGTTGATGCACCCATTCACGGAAAAGAAACTATGTACAGATGAAGGAGAGATGAGAGAGTGGCAAAGATCATACGTAGTGAACACATGGGGACGCGGTTGATGTCATTGGGATCGGAAAAGGCCACTCCAAAAATAGCGGCTATAAACATATGTACAACAAAGTCCACACTTCACAAAAGCAGATAATCATTTGTTACGTTTTCCAAACCCTCCAAAACCCATCACAGCGGCAACATCCTCGTCAACAAGTTGATCCTCGCCCCTGCGCCTTTTTTCCTTTCGTTTCTCATTTCGGTAAGCCCGCATTTTTTCTTCCTCTTCTGCAATTTGTTTCATGCGCTCATCTAGACTGTACTCTTGTGCCTTCTCCTCTTTTTTCTGCTGATGCAGCTGGAATCTAAGAGATGTAAGAAGCATCAAAATGAATAAAAAAAGTACCTTTCTTTTACATCTTCCAAGGTGGACCGCTTAATACGCATGGACATTCCCATGTTGCGCTGATGTTTTTTACCGTTTATATGGTCCAAATAGTTTATGGAATCTTTTACAACGCAGTCACAGACTTCACAATAGTAACCGGCTTGAGAAGAGCCAGGACCGGTCTTTGCAATAACTTGTGATTTATTAAGATTAGATTCCAAATCAATCTGTCGATAAACAGAGTAGAGTGCGGCAACCTACGGTGTAATCTCGTGCGCGGAGAAACTCCTTTTTGATAACCTCCTTCTCCTTTCTAGCATTTTTCAAGGATTCCAATTCATTGCTAAGACTGTCCTCAGCAAGTTTTTCAAAGTACGCTCGATCCCACTTTCGCCGATGGTCTACTGGGTTCTTTTCTAACATGATTATTAGAAATGAACTTACAGAACCGGCCATTACGGGCGACTGAGAACGAGTTTCTCGTGTTTCAAAGAAGCAGAGAAAACTGAAAATGCAGTGAAGTAAGATTATAAGCAAACGAGGATCACAAGAAGAAACCTAGTAAGATAATCTCAAGTAATGAACTTGTATCCGGTGCCGCGATTCGCCGGACGAGTGCACACGTAAGATAAATTCGACGACGCACCGCACTGATTGGATGCTTTATTCTGCGGATCAGAATGACGAGGACATCCGTTAAAGAGAGAGATGCACTAATGTTGTTGACAGCTAGCCTAGTAATCCCTAAATTAGAAGACCCAGAGCATCATCTTGCCGAAGTGAGATCGCGAGGCACGCATGACAAAAACAGAGTAAACGTTTTCTGTGTTGCAACGACATTCGTCAAATTCAGAAGGAAGCGACCTAGTAGTAAGCACGCAGAAGAGAAAGTTAGGTCCATAGAAAGTGATTTTCCATCTGGAGAGACGAATGAAGCAAAATTACACAAGAGATGCTTATTATATGCTCAACAAGAGAAGTAAAGCAGCTATTAACCCTGTCGTGCTCCTAATCATTTCCCCTTGCGGTTTACCTGAGTTACATCCCATTTTCCTCGCCGCTGCTAATCACTGTTATCCTTGGTGCCCCGAGTCGTGGCAACTGGACTCATCGCGATTCGATACCCAGATCTGAACTAAATTGTCCTACACCGTAACAAGTTAAGGGAGTATCTGAAGGCTAGTGGTCCTGCAACACCTTAAGTGTACGAAGCGCATACCAAACAGCTTATTCAGGGTTACCTGTGCCGTTACCCGATTGTCAGAGTCAGCCTAAATAGCCCGCATAATTTAAATCAGGCGGTCTTCTCTATAGCAACATCTCAATGACTGCCTCCAAGATAAAACAGAATAACAATGGAAAAATTGAACAATTAGCTGCTAACGCCAAGACTTCGAAAGCATTCCCAGAGCGCTCAAGAGGACAGCAACAATTGCAAAGTTGTAGAGAAACGAAGATACAGTACACCATTGATTTACACCACAAGTGACATGGAAAGGTGAAGATGACATGTCTTCACTCTGCCAGAGACGTTGAAGCATAAGGGTCGAAAACCAAAGCAGGTCGGTCGATCGAATCGGATGCAGGCCGAATTTCCGCAAATGTGACAGTGGTAGGCTTGCGTTAAAGGTGACAATGTTCGAGAAGGTGGCGGAGCGTAAATACATGGCCTACACATACTCGACAGATGCGGATACCAGCCTGTTATTCAAAAGAGTGTAGTTTTCGAGTCGGTGTTAGCCGGCAAAGCAGAATGAATGATAACAATTTGGAGGTAACCGACAACAAACTGATACTTTGTGATTGGCCTGGTAAGTACTGTTGTCCTTGAAGATTGGGACGTTGAATAGGAGGAAACCATTTTTACGCCAGACCATGACAGAAAGCGCCGGCAAACGGCTGAGGATCACTTCGCCACCGCATCTGAGCAACTCAGTAGGAATTTTATTTGAGCCGAGTGCCATGAGTTACTACAAGTGTCAAAACTCAAAGCAGACCCGTCTCGTTGGTTGGTCATAATGACACCTTCCAGGACTCTCGATTAAGTAAAGGGGGCAAAACATCGGAGGGAGTCCGACCGAATTGGGAGTGAAATTTCTCAGCCCGTGATCCATGCACCTACGTAAACTAGTGATTCATGGCTCATCACAAATAGACTCATCAACATCAGGATGTCTGTGACCAGTAATTCGATAGAGCTAGGAGAGCTTGCGGAAATCCCAAGAGGGAGCATTTGTTTCCATCTTGGAAGAGCGCAGAGACAAACAAGTTTCGCGGTTATTACGCAGGCTTTGCTTGAGTTGCAAACACAGGTGGGTAGGTAACAACAGTACGTAGACACATCGTACCGAGGCTTCGTTGCCGCGTGATCACCAACAGTCGCGTGAAGGCTAGGTATTCGGTGATGTCTCTCGCATCTACGCGAATTGGAACCAGTGACGTCCGGGATATAAGGGAGGCTTGTAATCCTTTCGGCCACCGGCCGACTGGCTGGATGAGGTTGTGGCGTAACTCACTGTTATTTTGGATATCTTGGATAGCTCAGCGACAATCGAGTAATTAGTGGGAGCGAATGGGGATCCAGCAGTGACAGGTGAATCCACAGATCTGTTCGCAGGGAGAAAACGCAGCTTTCTGCAAGGAAGTTTAATGGTGATCGACATCCGGAGACGGAGCGTTGGAGAACGCATCTGATAGTGAAGACTGATAGCTAAAAGGAATCGAGGAGTCGGCCAATCAAATCATTGAGTATACTGTGCGCTGTTTTCCAAAAACCCCTGCCGTATGAGCAAATGTTGACACAGACCACTGTGTACTCTGAGCAAAATTGGATGGATCAGTGATCGAAAAGATTAAGCGCCTGCTTAGTAATCCGGAGACCATCCACTCGAATACGCGTAGGTGGGAGAGACCTCGCTGTATAGCTGGCCAACAAGCGACTGGTGGTGGCTGTATGGCACCGAAGCGTCAGTACGGTGTGTCAGGGTACTGCTGAGGACTTTCTTTCTGCAGCTTCGTGTGCTGTCTATCACAAAGATGGATGACTGCAAGTGTTTGAGTTGTGATCATATTAGCATAGAAGAGAGGGACGTCCATAGACAGAAGGGCTCCTCGCATGTCCACGCTTCAGAGTAACAGACGATTATCTTCAGCTAACGTAAGAAATCCATCATCGTTATTACATGATCCCGAATTAAGAGCGTTGCGACAAGTAGTGATGTTCGCCTGACATCAATCAACCGACAAGTGCACTATATTTTCAAGAGAGAACGAGATGCAGAGTTTAAGTACTTCAAAAGCTGATGGAGCCTGAGATAAAAGTCACCACTAACTGATCCAGTTGCAGTTTGCTGGAGCGTGCGCGAAAGTCCCAAATAAGTTGCATCAATCTTCACGTCGTTTGTCGATCCCGAATGAGCTCTGAAATCGGACTGCACAGCCGGCTGTTGATCTGCATTATACATGTTAGCTAGAGGTGAAAAACTACTCAAATATCGTGCTGTAATATATGAAAAAAGAAAAAAGAAGCAACACAGGCACAGCAGAGGACCCCACTGGCAACGGATGGACATAGTTCCGGAATAAAAATCCGGCTATTGTGCCACAGATAAGAGTTATATTATGTTTAGGAAATGAGATCGTGGTTGGAGAGCGATAGACAAAGAAACTCACAACACAAACGCCATTGGGGTGGGTTCATAACAAAGTCAACAAGTGTGTCCAGCCAAAGGTGTTATTGTCTTTCGGGCCCCAATCAGGGAGTTGAGAGGAGTCAACCGAGGCCAACTTCAAAGGGCCTGCATTTGTTTTGACCAATAAATTGCTTGGCTTCCTTTTCTCTTCTTCCATCCCCATCACCACCGCGGGAGCCAGTGTGCTGACAATAAAAACACGTGGCCTAGCCATCGAAGCCAGGTGCGTGATATACTGGTGCTGAGTGGTTCACTCGGTCTTCCTGCACCAAATACACGACGTCCAACACGCTCAGTGCCCACGCGGTGTTCCCTCCAGACATGAGCTAAGCTGCGCAGGCAGCGATGGTCGGAAGTATCTAGCCTTCGTATGTCTCTCGAACTGATGGGTCAGGTTCGCATTCGTACAGGAGGGGTGAACGGACGGCTGCATTGTAAACTCTGCGTTTCATGGCGAGAGTGATATCGCACCGGCTCCACAGGTGGTGGAGATAGGCGAAACCGCCTCGAGATGTTGCTATACACAAGGCTGCGGTAAGCCTGGTGTCACTGTACGGACCAGAGACCTGACCAGTCAACAGTAAGGAAATTGAAAGATTGACCGTCCGTGATCGCCGATGCTTGCGGTGTACTGCACACCTTTGGTGGGAACGCCAAGTGAGCAATGCTGAGGTCCGCCATTTGGTTTTTGGCAAGAAGCCTTCTGGTGCCACACTGGAGTGGTTACTGAATATTAATCGCTTACGTTGGCTAGACCATGTCCTCTGTATGCCCGTTGACGGGTTTCCTCAGCGTGCATTACAGGCCGTGGCTGTACCAAGTTGGGTGAAATCGCGAAGTGGCCAGTTCATAACGTGGCACAGAGGCATGAAGAAACTGACCGAGAGACTTGGTCAGCCTGGTGCATGCTGTCTTCGTGGATGGTGACATCAGCATGGTCCACAAGAGCGGTTGGGGACTCTTTCAGACTTGGCACAGTCGGGCAGTTAGTGGCGTTCCATCAATCGGCTTCGTGCATCTAGTGGTTACTTCTGGTTCCATCCTGATTAATTTAATGCATCTCAACACTGATTCCACTTTCTGTACATACAATTTGCAATCAGCATCATTTTTCTGTCGTTGGTATTCTATTGTTACTCTAGCTGTATGAGGCATAGCAGCCTGTACTTGTTATCATGGCTTCACATTTGTCTTTTCTTGTAATTAATTTTGTCACATGCTTTGTACCGTTTGTTAGAAATGACGAAAACCTACTAGAATACAGTTCTTCGAAATCCGCACTCATGTCGTTCTGGTTTTTGGCTAGTGCTGCTGCCACGTGCGCACACTGCCTTCCAATTTGCATGAAAGCCAGACATTAACCGTGGGGTTACAGCCGATTACCTGCTTCCGTTTACGACAGGTATAGTATCATCTATTACTGGAACTTAACTGTGATTTAACTGGAGTTGCTTTTTCGCGAGGTTTGTGCACTTCCCAAGGAACTAAACCTTTCCTCATTTCATAGACCAATACAAGCTGGATGCACTGCAATTAAATGCTCGGATCAGCTGTTCAACTAAATTGAACCCAAAGTAACACTACTTGTATGGCAGCAACTTTGCTTCATCTTGATCTCAGGTGCCGAATCAGAGATGGAAATATTTCGGTGTTGTTCTTCCCAAAACGAACACACCATGACCGACGGTTTCGCCCTGGTTTGGATTCATCAGGTGGAGATAGTCTGGGGTGGAACTCGAAGTCTAGTGTTGTAGGACTGAGCCTTGATCAGTATGCAACTGAGATCCATGAGTAACGCCTGGCACAGCAGAAA